TGGTTTTTTTAACAACTTTGGGCAATAATACGCACTGCATACGATGCGGCAGTGCAAAAATAGCTGATGCAATCATTCTCAGATGTTCCCTCCAAGATATTGGATGTAATTATTAACTGAAGCTTTTCTAACAAAATCATGAGCTTCAGCTGCTTGAAAACATGGATTCAAATGCTCATGAATTTTAGGAGTTGACTGGCAGATTCAAGAAATAGTGTAAGGTTACCAGGACATGCATAGAGAAAGAACTGGATCATAGTCTCAGTAATTTTTAACTAGAAACACTTCCTTCTTCATTCCCAGGAATAAGCTAAATGATCCAGAGTCTCCCATAAGTAGAGTTATTACTGCAGTTGACAAAAGCCAATGTTATCCAAAATAAATTTTCCTAATCTGTCTACTTGTAGTATGTGTGTGGATGTGTGTGTACACTAAAATATTGTTAAGAGTAAATTTTTACAATTTGCTGTCTGTTTTTATGTTTCTTTAAAACATATCAACAACAGCCTTTGTTATGAAGATGACACAACCTTGCTTGCCAAAACTGAGGAAGACCTGAAGCATTTGCTGCAGAAGGTCAAGGAATGCAGCCTTAAATATGGGTTGAAGCTCAACATCAAGAAGACAAAGTTTCTCAGCACTGGGCCAACTGGCAGCATCATAACAGATGGTGAAGAAATTGAGATTGTTAACAGCTTCAAATTGCTTTGCTCAACAATCAACATTCCCAGTACCAGCAGGCAGGAAATCAAAAGACAAATTGCATTGGGAAAATCGGATGTCAGGGACCTCTCCAGAGTTCTGAAGAACAATGATGTCAGTCTACAGAATAAGGTACACCTGATCCAGGCCATGGTCTTGCAATTACATCCTATGTATCAGAGCACTGGACAATGCCTAAGAAGAATAACTGGTGTCTTTGAGTTGTGGTGCTGGAGAAGAGTTAAATATATCATGACTTCTAGGAGAATAAAACAGGGTCGTCTCACCGAGGGTGAAACCAGACTGTTGCTTGGAAGCAAGGATTCTGAAGCTTCACCTGACATAACTTAAGCAAAGAGGGACCAATCCTTGGAGAACATCATCATGCATGGAAGGATGGAGAGAGAGTGCAAGAGAGGAAGATCCTCAATGAGATGAATTGACTCAGTGACTGGGGTAATAGGGGTAGGCGTGTAAGAGACAATGAGGTTGTCTCAAGATAGAGCAGGGTTCAGAGCTGCTGTACACAGAGTCTCTATAAGTCCCAGGCAACTCAACAGCACATAACAACAACAACAACAACAACAAAACTTATCTTTCATTTTATAGGTAATGTTTAAAACCTCAAAGGCAAATAATTATCAGATTTATAGAGATACTGATAATGAAAGGAAAAAACAGTGAAAAAGTTTTAAAACTTGAGGTATTCAACTTACATCAGAAGCAACATATACAATGCAATCACGAATACAGAATCCTGTTTTAAGTTAGGAACTTCTTGCATTTGCATTAAAGAGTTAGAAGCATTACAATAATTTCTGTGAGAGAGATATTGTTGGTGTGTTCTTTTTTACTCTGATTTATTTACAAAGTTTCAATACATTGCTTTTCACAAAAGATCCTTCCCATTTCTGCCACCCCAAACACCCATCCAATTCTGTTATGATTAACACTCTATGTCTCACATCCACACCCTCGCCCCCCCACCTTGGATCCCCATACTCATTCTACAATAATGGGTGCTTTTTTATTTTTTTATTATTACTTTTAATGAAAATTAACCAAAACTTTGGACTTCCATTATTTCATTGTTGCACTCCCAACCCCCACCCCACTGCCCCCTAGTTTACTCTTCTCTTTGAAAAGTAAAAGAAAAATTCTTCCATTGTTATACAATTGTTATACAATCCCTTCCCACTTCGTTCTGGACTCCTGCCATGACAATCATATATCCCTTTTAAACAGTTCTTTCCCCCATCTATTTCAATGCAGTATACATAATTTATCCCATCTTTCACAGTCTCCTCCCAACCTGGATATCAGACCTCTTTTACAACAGTGGCACTATGCAGTATTTGTCCTTTTGTGACTGATATAGGTTTTATACAATATTTGACCTTTTGGGATTAAGTTAATTCACTCAGCATAATGCTCACAGTTCCTGCCACATTAAGTAGTAATTTACAAAGTGATTGCTCCTGCGTGCTGCATAGTATTTCACTGTATGAATGAAACACAACTTCTCAATCCATTCATTTGTGGTTGGACATCTGGGCTATTTCCATGTTGCCCCGATGGTGAATAATGCTACTATAAACATTGATGTAAAAGTTTCTGTTTGATCCTCGGGTCTCATTTTCTTGGGGGTATATTCTAAGCAATGAAATAGCGGAGTCATATGGAATTTCTATGTTCAGCTTTTTGAGGAAGTGCCAAACTGCGTTCCAAAGTGGTGGTGGTGGTGCTTGTTCTTGTTGTTGTTGTTAGGTGCCATCGAGTTGAGCACAACTCATAGCAACCCTATCAACAAAAAGTTCTGAAACCAGTCTTGTCCTTCACCATCCTCACACCTTCTGATACACAAAAGACCACTGTAGCAGTCACCTTGTCAGTCCACTTGGTTGAGGGTCTTCCTCTCCATTGCCAACCCTCCACCCTTCCCAACACCATTTCCCTCTCCATCTCCCAGCAATATGTCCAAAGTATATGAGGCAAAGCCTCGTCATTCTTGTCTCCAAAGAGCACTCTGGCTGCACTATCTCCAAGACATATCCATTCTTATTCTTGGCCTTCTATGGGATGTTCAGGAACCTTCTCCAACACCACAGCTAAAAAGCATCAATTCTTCTGTCATCCTTATTTACTGTCCAGGTCTCAGATGCATGACTAGTAATTGGAAAGACCATGGCCTGAATCAGATGCACCTTAGTCCTCAAACTGACATCATTACTTCTCAGTAATTTGGAAAGGTCCCTAACTGCAGATTTTCCCAGTGCAATGCATCTCCTTATTTCCAGACTGCTTGTATCAAGGGTGTTAATTGTGGATCCAAGCAAGATGAAGAGGTTGACAGTTTCAATCTCCTCTCCATCCATCATGATACTGCCTACTGATCCAGTGGTAAGAATCTTTGTTTTCTTGATATTGAGATGCAATCCATACTGAAGACTGCATTCTTTGATCTTCTGCAACAAGTGCTTCAAATCCTCCTCACTTTCAGCAAGCAAGATTCTGTTATCTGCATAACACAAGTTTTTAATGAGTCTCTCTTCAACCCTGATGCCACACTCCTACTACATTGCCATGGTGGTTAAGACAGCACGGTACTGGTACAATGACAGACACATAGATCAATGGAATAGAATCAAGAACCCAGATGTTAGCCCACCTCCCTACGTTCAACTGATTTTTGACAAGGAGATTAAACCGTGAAGTGGGAAAATGATAGCCTTTTAAACAAATGGTGTTGGTAAAACTGGAAAACTATCTGTAGAAAGCTCAAGCTAGATCCATACCTCACACCATACAGAAAAACCAACTCAAAGTGGATAAAGGACCCAGGACTAAAACCAAGGACTATAAACTTCATTAGAGAAAAGCTTGGAAGAACTCTAGAAGCCCTAATGCACAACATAAACAGTCTTCCAAGCATCCTGAAAAACCTACTACCAGAAGAGGATAAAATAGATGAATGGGACCTTCTAAGAATCAAATCCCTATGCACATCCAAAAACTTCTCCAACAGGGTAAAAAGGGAAGCCACAGGCAGGGAAAATATATGACATGTCTGATAAGGGACTTATATATAGAATTTATACTCTATTTTTTAAGTTCTTGTACCTCTTTAACTATTCTATCAATTTGTTCTTTCATCTTTTTTATTTTCTCCCTTACTGGCTCATGTTGCTCCTTATCAACATATATTGGACTATTATCTTTGGAGTGTTTGCTTTCTTAACTGTTTCTTCCATCGTTTGCATTTTCTCTCTTACCTGTTCAAGTCACTCCTCATCAATGTATTTCTTCTGGATTGTTGTTTCCGGGTTTTTTGCTTTCTTAACTGCTTCTTCCATCATTTGCATCTTCTTCTGTAGCTGTTCAAATAACTTCACATCAATATATTTCTTCCGGTTCTATCTAGGGTATTCATTGGGTCTGATTTTTTAGGAGATGGGTTATTTTGTTTTTCATGATAACTGAGGTAGACTGCTGCTTTCTTGACATTATGTGAGTCTTTTCTTTGTAGATGTTTGTCATTGTAACTGTATAGTGACCAAGAGTACGGCAGTGTTTTGTAAAGGAGCTGTATATTTGTATTTTCTACTTGGCAGGCCTCAGGTCAAACAGCTGTGATCCCCACAAAGTACCTGAATGGAAAACCAGGAAGCCTTGGTTTTCCCCTTTGAGAACTGGCTCTGTCATCTCACTCAAGTTCCAGGTGTCCTGCTCCGATATTGTTGGTTTTATCTGAGGCACAGAGCAGCTGGCAGCTTTTCCTCAGTCACAGGCCAGCAAGTGGTGGAGCCCAGACATGAATTTAGAAAGAAAATAAAATCCAGCCCCTGAATTTAAGCTATTACTACCCAAGGGGTTGGAAATGGTGTAGAGATGGGAGGTGGAAAGGACAGAGACCTTATGATCATAAACAGGATTCCTTCAAAGACAAATCATCACCCATAATACAAAGGTTCAGCAAGCAAAATCCAATACAACAGACAGGGGTGGATAACAAGCAAAATGATTCGAGAGTCTCAAGGTGCCTTCTCTAAGTTACAGTAGAGAACACATCTTACTTAGAAGCAAAGAAAGAACATGAAATTCAAGAGAAGAAAGATTCCAATAATAGAATGAGACAGGATGAAAGGAGAGGCCATCACTCTGACCATCCCAGGAGACCCTGTCACATGACTTGACAGACAGAGGCCATCTGAGACTGTCTTCTCATCACTGGGTCTAAAGCTACAGTGGCCTCATTTGCCAGGGTTCTGCAGATTGGAAGGAGATCAAAAACCACTTACATGTATTCCCTGTGGGCAGAGTGCACAGCGGCCGCGTTGCTGTAACGCCACAGGACAATTGCTGACGACAGGACATCCAGAATGGCGTCAAACTAGGAGAAAGAGACACAATATTAGTTTTTCTGAGTTAATAAGGCATGACTGTGAAGACACGGGGAAACTGTGCTGGGATTCGTAACATCACTTCAGTGCACAGAGAGAGGCTGCCCAGCTGGTCCTGAGCCACTTGCCCTCACAGAGCAGCTGGAGACTAGGCTGGTGGCTTCCCTCGGCCATCCTCAACATAGCTCTTGCTTGAGAAGCTGCCCTGAGCAGAGGTCTTAGGGGGGAGAGACTACAGGGCCCTGGCTCCCAGCTCTCTAGAAATGTGGAGGGCTCCTGTTCTTAACCACACAGAACTGACTTCCTGATAGCCAGAAAAAGTATCCTGGTGTCTTCCTGTAAATCCCAAGCAAAAGATTCAGGGTGAGGAGTGTGTTTCTGGCTCTTAATGAGACTGCCCTACCTGGAATCTGGAGAGGTGGGGTGAATGGGTCACCCAAGAGCTTTCAGAAGTTGGTCAACATTTTGAAACTGTACAAGTAATTCAACGCTTTTCTGTGAGTGGTTGAGTGAGAGAATGAATGAGCTGCAGAGGTGTAGCAAGGGTGGGAGGAAGCAAGTTGCGTGTGTGTATACATGTGTGTACGTGTGTGGATGTGGAATGAATGAATGTCTTCTTAAGATTCTGAAAAAAATCTGCAACATGCCTCAAACATGGAGTTCCTTATGTCTTCCTAACAAGCAGAGACAGTGGGGACTGGAACACACCCCTCAGGTACTGCACAGGAGGGCCGACACTTCAGGAGTTCTTCCATGAGTCGTCCAGCACACTGCACTTCACACTTGGAAAATCACAAGCGCTAACACTCTCTTAAAGGAAGCTTGGGCACTCAACATACCTGATCTGCACAGCAGTGTGGACATCTCATTCTCTGAACCACTCCTGCAAGCAGGCAGACTCAGGCCTGGCTGCCCCCAGCAGCGCCAAGCTTAACCCTCAGCACCTCTCTCCCCACCCCATTTTGTGTCCATTCTCAAGTCCACACCTAGTCATGGCAAAACGTGACTGCACTCATCTGACTGAGAATACATTCTCAGTGCAGTTTATTCCGGCAAAGTGGACATTTTACAGTGCTATTCCCACAAAGAATGTTTTCCTCATGCTAAGCTCTCATGCTGATTAACTTCTTATTTGAGGATATAGGGTGAGACCAGTGGGCTCTGGATAAACGTGCAAAACTTCATAAAAGTATATTTCAAGTTACTTACTGCAAACCCAAAAGCAGAGGCGCTGTACCTCATAACGGAGACAGCTAAAAAGAAAGAAAATATCATTCAGAATATTTTAAGACTTCATGGCTATATCTCTCTCATATGGGAGCACATTCATATCTTTGAAATAGCCTCTTAAACATCAGTGCCCAGTTCTAAAAGAATAAAATTAAAAGTCTACGTAGGATCAGAATTTTTTTTTTAAAGTAAAGCATATGCTAAAAAGACTGCCAGGCACCATGTGTAACATCTTCCCTTCCCTGTGGGTCCTGAAGCCCTGGATTCAGAACCAGAGAGCATGAGCGGGTGCCAATCAAATATCTTCTTTGACATTGATAATTCAGCAAATGGCAATAGAAAGCTGGGATTGACACTCAACCTTCATTGTGAAACAGCAAACTGGCAAAACTATCTGATAAAAGGGTAATGAGTGATGCTATCTTCTTGCATTTGCCAAGGCTGGCACGGTCAAATAAAATCTATGCCTCTCAGGGTTTAAAATCAAATGCACACCTCAAAAAAGCTGTCAAGAAAAATAACTAAGAGGTAATTTTTTATTTAATAATGCCATGGTTGTTAATTGTCATCAGTTCAGCCCCTGACTCAGGGCAAACTGAAGCACAAGAAAAAATAATACTGCTCCGTCCTGAGCCATGCCCAGGAGCAGGTGCTGATCAACTCTGGGGAACCAGAGCCAAGCCCAGGAGCAGGCACTGATCAACTGTGGGGACACACCACCCCCTTCTTCGGAGCCCATCTCAGCCAGGACGTTCCCTCAGCTTCTGATCCACCTCAGAGCAGTACATGGGTCTGGGCATGAGGAGTGTAGGCTGTGTTGAGACCTCTACATCTTTTAAGTGCAGGTAAAAATTCTACCATGGAGCCACCGCAGCTCCAATTAAGTAACAGATACCCACAACTGTAGATGTTACAACTAAAATGTTTAAATATGTTTTAAGTATTCAAAACTCTGTCTACTTTCTGGAGACCAAGTCAACTGGGCTCTTCTGTAATATTCAGCTTCAAGGACTGCTGTTTTGATTTAACTGTGATGTATCTCAAAAGAAAAAGGCATGCTTAACAACTTTGCATTCGTCTTGAAACAAAGAATGAAACCCCATCCCAAGGGCAAGGCTCTGAATTGGGTTGTCTGTGATGCCAGGTCTCCCTGGTGGTGACAGAGCAAGGATGAGGTGCATAGGCTGACACCTACATGGATGTTCACTCAGTTGCCACAATGTCAGCTCTCTCTGACACACTCCCTGCTCTACACGTCATCCAGGAGGAGCCCCTAATAGCTCTGTGGGTTCTGACACTGTCTCCAGCCTGGAGTGGCTTAAATCAGAGGCACTCAACCCAATGTTGCCCAAACATCTTTTCTTTTTCTGTGAACAAAGGATTAAGACAGAGAGTGAGCCGAATCAGTTAGTGTATGTTTCTAGAACTGAAACTTGTCTACAGTTGGTCATCACTTGCTAGACAGGGGACAGAGGGACAGTGTGGTCACACACAACACTGGGGCAGAGACGGTCAAAGACTTCCTGCTGCTATCACAGCCTTCCTGAACTCAGCTTCACTCCAGTCCTCAGCCAGATGAGGAAGGACATAAAAAGCACAAACCTCGCGTCTCCCCATGTCACAGCTTTCACAGGTTGTAACCTCAGTGTCACCATTACTGAGCTTTTCCTCTGTGACACCACTGCGTGGGCTCAATGCCTCAGTCTCCAGATTAATATTATTGTTGTTGTTTATTACCACTGAGGTAGAACTGACTTAAAACTGACCCTTGCGAGTTTTCAGTGGCAGTAAATTACATGGGAGGAGACAGCTCATCTTTTTTTTTTTTCCTGTGGGCCAGCTGGTAGATTTGAACTACGTACCTTTGAGCTGGCAGCACAACTCCTTCCCACTAGTTCACCAGAGCTCCCTAGGCTCATGTTGTTGTTGTGTGCTGTCAAATCGGAACCTACCCACAGATGACCTTCCAGTGGATTTTCAGATGCAGTAAATTGCACAGTAGGAGACAACCTACACTTCTCCATTGGAGCAGCTGGTGGATTTGAACCACATGACTCTGGGATTGCATCACAGCTTCTTATCACTAGGTCACCAGAGCTCCCTCCCTAGGTTCACAGTCAAGTACAAATTAAGTGTGCCATCTTGACATTGACATGGGCTTCTTGTTGCTCAGAACTGGTTTATAAAGAAGGCAGCATGGAGAGCAGTATCCCCAGACCAGCCCAAGGGCAGCATGACCTTTCCAAAGAGCATCAACTCATGGCCCAGATGGCATGTGCAAAAGAGACAGCTGACCCCTCACAGGGCTGCCCTGAGTACTGAGAAGCCCTACAAGCATTGAGCTTGCAAAAGGAGTCCTTGGTAACCATTACTTAACCTGAAACAGCAAACCTCCTGCCATCAGGTTTACTCAGCCTCATCACAGCCCTCCACGGGTTTACAAAGCTGTACATTTTGGCCAAAGACTGTCCATCTTTATGCCAAGGAGCCCTAGAGGATTGAACCACTGGAGAGAGGCGGTCTTTTGATTAGCAGCATGGCACACTATGGACTTTGCTGACAAGAGCTCAAACCAACAACTAGGTGTAACAAAATTTTGTAGAAACACGTCAAAGGGAGTCTCTGTTGTCCTTTACAACCTGCTTTTAGGCTATCTTAGCTCTATGCCTTTTGTAAGTTTCTGTAGGCTACTTCTTTATCAGCTCTCTCAATAAAACCCCTCATTGCCTGTAAGAGCTGAGCCTCCAGCAGGTTTTCATGAGACTATAAATCACGCAAGAAGACAGTGTCCATCTTTTTTCCTCAAAGCAACTAGTGGATTCAAACAAGCAGAGAAGTATCACCTCTGGGGTATCAGCACAGGACCCTACAAGTTATGAGAGTGCCCTTCTTCACTAGCAGATCTATTCACTTCTACTAAAATCTTGTAGAGTCCTGGGTTGAGACGAAATACTCAGTTGGCAACCACAAGGCTGGTGGTTCAAGACCACCCAGATATATCTTGGAAGAAAGGCTTGATGGTCTACTCCCCCAAAATTACACACTGGAAGATCTGTGGGGCATGGATTCTATTCTAATGCACTTGCGGTCACCACAAGTCAGAGACAGAGCAATAGCAACTGAACAGGAAATAAAGAAGAGATGTTCAGGCGGCACTTCAGCTCCGCTCCACCAGTACTCTCCTGCCCGTGGACCACACTGGAGGACTGCCCCAGGGACCCTAACACCAGTGCTTTCCTGACCCTCACACCAGTGCTCTCCTGCCCGTGGACCATGCTGGAGGACTGCCCCAAGGACCCTAACACCAGTGCTCTCCTGACCCTCACACCAGTGCGCGGACCACGCTGGGGGACTGCCCCAGGGACCCTCACAGAAGTGCTCTCCTGCCTGTGGACCACTCTGGAGGACTGCCTCAGGGACCCTCTACATCAGTGATCAGTGGCTACATCAGTGATCTCCTTCCCAGGGACCAGGCATGGGACTGCTCTGCTGACCACCACACGAGTGCTCTACAGCCAGGGAACCATGTTGGGGGACTGTCCCATTCACCATTCCAGAAGAATTCTTACTGTGGAAAGTTGCCTTTTTGACCACAGCCTACTTTTAAAATTCTTTCATCTGAGCTCTTTATTAGACAGAGGCACTGATAAAGTGATAGAGATGTCAAAGCGGTTGACCACTGAAAATTTCACTACACTGAGAAACACAAGGAATTTGGTTTCAGAGACTTTGGAAGCAAATTCAGCCCACAACCCCTAAGAGGTAAGGTTCCTTGACTCAGCCAGAGACAGGTGTCAGGATTTCAAATGCTCAGAATCACACTGAAAGGTTCTTTTAGTGTGAGTAAATGAAGCCTCCAAATGCAGGAGGTAACCTGGAAGACAAGTAAAATGTTCCTACTGCTCCATTCCCCCACGGGCCAACGAAGATGAGACAAAGCACTCCAGGTTCACCGAAGTCCTTCACAGAATGGAAGGATTAGCACATACTATTTACCTTTAAATTGGCTCCATTCAATTTCCTTGGTAAGATGGAAAGATGAAAATGTAAAAAATTGCACGGGGAATTGAGAATACGCTGAAGGACCCTACACACATCAGCTTTCCTTCAAGACCAACTCCTCGTTCTGGCTACTTAATAACAGAAACACATTGGCATGAGGGCAGAGGTGGGTCACTCACCAAGGTCTTGCCTGCTGTGCTGGGAACTTGGCCTTGAATCTGACCAGTGCCCCTCCTGGGCCACCACCAGCCATTTGCCAGTGGAAGCTTTTGTGTTGGTATAAACAGAACAGGGTTCTGTGGAGATTCCAGATTAAAATAAAGTGCCCTACCTCTGAAAACCAGCCAATGAGAAAACCTGCAGATCATCTTGGGGCTAGGGTCACCAAAGGAGAGGTTCAACGTGGCAACAGTTAAAGACTGCATCAGCCCAGCACCCACATAGAGGCCTGCAGGCTGTGTAAAAATTTCTCAAGTGTCGGGTTTTGGTGGTTTTTTTGATTGAGAGAGGAGTGAAGACTTAAATCCAAGATCATGGCAAGACATTTGAAATTCATTGCCAGGACTGTGATGGTACAGGATGGCAACATGGAAAGTGCATACAGGAGCCTGAACAGAATCCTAAGCATGGATGGGCTCATTGAAGACATTAAGCGAAGGAGATACTATGAGAAGCCCTGCCGCAAGCGACAGCGGGAAAGCTATGAGACCTGCCGAAGGATCTACAACATGGAAATGGCCAGAAAAATCAACTTCCTGATGCGAAAGAATCGGGCAGATCCATGGCAGGGCTGCTAAGGCAATTTGTGTCTCCACTTGTTTTTTTCTTGCATCCATATATTCTCTTACTATTCTCAACAATAAACTCAGTCACTTGTATGCAAGAAGACCTGCAAATAGAGATAATCCGACTGGTAAAAAAAAAAAAAATTTCTCAAGTGTCAAGTAACAGCTTTGTTTTGTTTGCCTGTACTTACCATGACACATCCTCATTCTGAGATAAGGACGAACTTGAGAGAAAA